AGTTTCCTTATTTGTTCAAAGTGTGTGATGCAGGCGGTATTGCCTTTATGGATTGTAAAGGCTCCGGACCACTGGTGCCCTGAAAAGGTGCATCCTAGGTCCTTGTGCCATGCCTGTATGAAATTGTCTGTAGAGTTATGTGTGCCTGCTAGTAGTGCTCCGTATACTCTTGAGAGGGTTCGTTTGTGTGGTTCTCCTCTGAGGCACCACGTGTCGTAACTGGATATCACGGGTGTCTCAGGTGAGGTTGTGGGTTGTTGTAGCATCGATTTGAGCTGTAAGTATGAGAAGATTGCTCTATTTGGTATTTTGTACTGTGCTTGTATGTCCGGGAACTGTTTAAGAGAGGGCCCGTTGTACAGGTTGTGTATGTGTGTGCACCCTGCTGCTGTCCATGTCCGATAGTCAAATGTTTGGTTCCTCAGATATATGCTATACATTGTTGAGGCTAGTGATGGTTCCCTTGAGCTGCTAAGGTGCGCTCTGTTTGTGTCACACGTGTGCATCAGTAGCTTTGTGGTTTCCAGCATATGGGGTGTTGCTGGTCTTTGATGTTTTGGTACCCAGAATAGATGGTGCATCCCAGCTCTGCACTACTCATGGGATTCAATAGCTACCCATTGCGGTGGATTTCCTACCCTGTGCGCCGTGGCCACCGTGGATAGAAGTGCAGCCTTGTAGTATAATTTAATTGTGTACAAAAAACGCTATTGTGCAAATTAATGCCAAATAGTGCAAAATGTGGAGCGCTATAAAATAAAGCACTTACTCCTGTGATTCTCAGGAGATATAGATGGTGAAGGAGTCCTTATATATCCTTTTCTGGATAGAAAACCTCAAAGTGGGAACAAAAACAGAGAAAACAGGGAAGCAAAGCTAACCCTGGTGTAGAAATCCTTGATATAATGGATAATCAAATATAAACGACAATTGGCTTCTCACCTTGTCAGGAGCCAGATACCAGGCTCCAAGTATGCAGATATAGTGTCAAATATAGGGTGACACTGCCCTTCTTTGTAGCAGCATGAATGTATCACTTAATCAGCTTGAATAAAAAATGTAACATTTATTGTAAATATAATTTAAAACAATAAAATCAATATACTCAAGTGATAGTGCTTGGTCCAAGACGCGTTTCGCCTGTGTAGTTCGGCTTTATCAATTGGTAAATACATGCTGCAATTACATACTTTAAATATCCCACAGTGGTAGCTCATTGGAGAATGGCGTCCGTGATACGTCCAATCACGGAGCTCATATTGGTGGGAGTGTGAGGGTACAGCTGTCAGTGATCTTTCCGCCGTCATGACGTCATCACGCACGACGACTCGTGCGCGTGACGTCATTCGCGGAAGTAAAAATCCTCCCAACAGTCCGTCCCACACTAATGATGCCTCCACATTGTGCCCAATTCGGATGTTCAGAATGTCCCCTCCCACTTTCAATCATGATGCAAGTGTAGGCTTTCAATCTTGTCCGCCATTTCGGTTGAGGGCAACATAATGGAGATGAATGTCCATAATCGATCCAATATAAGTCCAGTATTAAAGGATGTTCCTGAATGTTATAAATGCTCCAAAGGGCACATATACAATAGAAAATGAAAAATGGGAAATGATTTACATATTGTCCATTATTGAGAAGTATAAAAGAATATATATAATAACATCCTATACATATACAATAGATTTATAGATATTCAAATTCATAGTGAATAGAAAAGTAAAAGAAAGGGTGAAGTGTATAAGACTTAAAATGATGACTTTATAATTATAAAAATTAGAAAATATGTATATAAAAAGTATATATAATCAAAAAATATATATTAAAAAATACCTTCATAAATATAATAATAAAAATATTAAAATGAACTATAAAAAATGACAAATTTCAAAGTCATCATTCAGTCCGTGAGGTTGCATTGTATCCAAATTAAAAATCCATTTCATCTCTGCTTGTCCTATACTTTTGATTAAGTCACCTCCCCTCCAATTCATCGAGACTCTTTGGATTCCCATGAATTCCATAAAACGGGGGTCACAATTGTGTTTATCTTTAAAATGCATAGAAACACTATGTTTTTCAAAACCATTTTTTATGTTTCTTATATGCTCCTGAATTCTTGTATTCAGTGTTCGAATGGTTCTTCCTATATAGGTTAACCTACATGGACAAGTTATTTTATATATAATTCTTGTAGAATGACAGGTAATTAATTGTTTGATTTTAAATTTTTTTCCAATGTCCCTCGGATGAACAAATTCCTTTATTATTCGTTTTGGACTCTGGGTGTTTTTGCAGGCCCCACAGTGACCACACCCATAGAATCCATTTGTCTCATTAAAAAAGGATGTATTAACAGTATTTTTCTGCAATGGTAAATGATTATGTACTAAACTACTGCTTAGATTTTGTGCACCTCTATATGTGATAATAGGTCTGTCGGGAAGTAAAAAATGAAGGACAGGGTCATTCTTTAAAATTGGCCAATACTTACTAATTATTCTCTTAAGTTGTTTACTATTACAATTAAAATCACAAATAAAGTTAAAACTCTGATACTGTGTGTCCGTTTTTTTGTCTTTATATACAAGTAAATCATTTCTGTTCTTGATTTCTACTTCCTCATAAGCTTTCACTAACAATTCATTGTTATATCCCTTCTCTCTAAAATCATTGAGTATTTTATTGGATTGTTCCTGGAATTTTACACCATCCGTGCAATTACGCTTAATTCTTAACAACTGTGCTTTGGGGGCGTTTAACAGCCAAGGGGAGAAATGACAACTTTTCTCCCCTATATAGCTGTTGACGTCCACCTTTTTAAAGAAAGTGCAAGACTTAAGAATATTCTCTTCCACATATATATTAAGGTCCAAAAATTCGACCGAGGTTTTACTAAAATGGCTAGTGAGCTTAATTCCCCAATCATTCGTATTAAGATGGGTTAAAAAGGTATTAAGAGACGATTCGTCGCCCTTCCAAATAAAAAATATATCATCAATGTAACGGCGATAGGTAACGAGGTTTGCGTCCCAGCTATGATCATTATAAATGAACTCCTGTTCCCAGTGTGACATGAACAGGTTCGCATAACTAGGCGCAAACCTCGTCCCCATCGCCGTTCCACATGTCTGCAAGTAAAACTGGTCGCCGTACCAGAAATAATTATTCTTTAAAATCCACTCTATCCCTTCAATAATAAAGTTGACCTGATTCACGGAAAATCTCTTAGAATATTCCAAAAAGTGCCTTGTTGCTCTACATCCCTGAGTGTGGGAGATAATCGTGTATAATGAGCTAACGTCCGATGTCACAAGATAATAATCTGTGTCCCAAGTGATCTGTTGGATAATTTGTAAAATATTGATGGTATCTAGTATAATTTAATATCTGGAAAGCTCATGCCTCCTTTCTCTGTTGGTTTTTTGATTGTGGAGAGTGCTACTCTAGGTGTTTTGTTTGCCCACGTGAATCGTGTGATGATTTTTTGTAAAGTGGTCATATATTGCCTAGGGATGGGAATCTGCAGTGATCGGAATAAGTATTGTAATTTAGGCAGCAGTGACATTTTAAATGCCGCTATGCGTCCGTGCCACGAGTGGATGTCACTGTTCCACTTGTCGAACGTCTGTGTTATTTCTTGTGATAGTTTCTTGTAGTTGTATTTGAACATTTGGTAAGTTGTCTTGGCTAGATTGATCCCTAAAATGTTTATGTAATCGTCTCTCCAGTCAATGTTAAAGGATTCCGTCAGTGTTTGGAGAGTTCGTCCTGGGAGGTGGATTCCCATTGCCTGTGTTTTTGTAAGGTTGAGTTTATAGTACGTTACTTTGTTATAGTCTTGAATGCATTGTAGGAGGTTAGGTATGGATATTTGCGGTTGCGTCAGGGTCAGGAGTATGTCGTCCGCAGTAAGGGTGCAGTAACAATAATGTTAAGAAGAAAGGGCAAGATAAGCTGGACTAGTAAAGAACAGCTAGACAAAGTTGTGTAATTTGGAAGGGATACTAAAGAATAACCTAAATAAAAAAAAAAATAGAGGAAGGTTGGGGTAAGGGTTAGGGTTCTGGGTAGGGTTAGAGGAAGGTTGGGGTAAGGGTTAGGAGTAGGGGTAGGTTTAAGGGTAGATATCTGTCATCATTCTCTTAATTTACCCTCCCTCTCCTGTTTTGCCACTTTTCAGAAATCTGAAGCACTTTGGCACTTCCGAAATTCGTCACTTTGGCAATTCAGGACTTCGGATTGAAATGAAATGCACATGTCTACTGGCTGATTGTTTAGATCATCAAATCCTAAAATCAGAGTGCGTCAGTTCTCCACCTCAGAATATGATTCTAGCAGCTCAGAGATTAAATTTTCTGAATATCCCTAAACCAATTTCCCAGCTTTAGGCCCAAAAAGCATGACAAGAAAGGGTTTTATTTTTTTTTATTTTTTTTAGGGAAAACCCAAATAGAATAACTTTCACACCTAAGAACATGCAATTAACAGAATCCAAATACGCTCTGGTAAAAAATGTATTCATCCCAGCCAATAATCGGACCATTCACCTATCCAGTAACACCCTTAGGTCTGATAAATTCAAGGTTTTGAGTAGAGATTTGTCATTCGTTCCAGTCCCTAAATTTGATAAGTCCTGCTGAATAAAGTATATGCAACTATTAAAAAATAAATTAGCCATATTCAAGCACCATCAAACAAGAACAGAAAGAAAATAAATCACTTGTATTACAAACATTATTAGATTTATTGGAAGCAAATGATCAGGGTTTTTCCCAATCTCATGAGAAGCACTCTGACTGGTTTGGTTAAGATAAGATGACAAAAAAATATGTTTTGTGTTGCTTTAAGTACTGCCAGCTTAAGCTTAAAGATTTTAAATTGGTTTAATTTAAATAACAGAAGAACAATAAACCTCATAAAAGTAATTTGGGAATTGACATTTCACATAAAATATAGACCCACTGTAAGTTTCTCAGCCATAGGAACACTATAGAGTTAGGAATGCAAACATATTCCTAGTTATACATAGGTCCCCCTCTTTCTATTCCAATAAATGTTAGAAAATAAAGCCCTATATTGACCCTGAAACTTTCCAAAACATTATAAAACCTGTACATGGGGGGTATTGTTATACTCGGGAGACTTCGCTGAACACAAATATGAGGGTTTAAAACACTAAAACTTATCATGACAATGAAATCTATAGTTATTATATATAGTATGTATATACCTGTGTAATTTTACTCTAAGTTTATTTTTTATTAATATATGTATATATATATTAATAAAAAATACACTTAGTATGATGTTTTTTCATCAAATTTACAGTAAATTTTTGTTTTTACTGGAAATTTGATGCTTTGAATAAACAGCACGATTTGAAATAATTCTGAGTCCTGTGAGTGCACTTCAAACAAGGATAATATATAAAAATATAACAAAAAAAATAAAATATATATGTATTTTTTAAAAAATTTTTATTAACCCCTACCCTCCCTCCCTCTCACTACCCATGAACTTACCGATCGCTGCTGTTCCCCCGCCAGTGATTGGTCTTCTCAGCCCAGACAGTCCCCCCCTCTCCAATTTCTAAAAGAGTGGTCACATGGCCGCAATAGGTGTAGGTGTCCACAGTGCTGCCAGCAGGGGGACTGTCTGAACAGTCCCCTTGCTGGTGGAGAAAGTTAAAAAATAAAATAAAAGGTAATACATTTAAAAATGATATATATATATATATATATATATATATATATATATATATATATATATATATATATATATATATATCATTTTTAAATGTATTACCTTTTATTTTTTTCCACAGTGCTGCCAGCAGGGGGACTGTCTGAACAGTCCCCTTGCTGGTGGAGAAAGTTAAAAAATAAAATAAAAGGTAATACATTTAAAAAATATAATATATATATATATATATATATATATATATATGCATATATATATATATATATATATATATATATATATATATATATATATATATATATCATTTTTAAATGTATTACCTTTTATTTTATTTTTTAACTTTCTCCACCAGCAAGGGGACTGTTCAGACAGTCCCCCTGCTGGCAGCACTGTGGACACCCATTGCGGCCATGTGACCACTCTTTTAGAGCGGTCACATGGCCCCTGTGGGTCCTAAATTGGAGAGGGGGGGACTGTCTGGGCTGAGAAGACCAATCACTGGCGGGGGAACTGCAGCGATCGGTAAGTTCATGGGTAGTGAGAGGGAGAGAGGGTAGGGGTTAATAAAAAAAAAAAAGATACATATATATATATATATATA